CAAAAGGCATGTGAAACGAGTTAGTATCCGGCTGCCATCGCTCCACAAAAGCAGAAAGGAGTGGGGTGTCCAACTGGGTGTGCATGGAGTCGACCAAATGTGACAGCCCAGTCTGGTCGAGAAGAGCTCTAGCATCGGAAGACATCTCCTCACGCCAAGCCTTCAGATTATCGATCGCTCACACTCTGTTGTGGCATTTCAGTAGCCCCCTCAAATTCCCATTCCACATGCGGGAGGCGACGTGCCCAAGAAAGCTAGGGATGACACTCCCATCAATGGGCCCACCGGGCACTGGGCCTCTAACGATCCAAGGTGCATCATCATCGGTCCTAGCTCGTTTGCTAGTACCTGCATTAAAATACAACATATCTGTATATATTGACTTGCTGGCAGATGCATTAAATAAAATATATTTAATAAAACATATTTTATTAGTTACGTTACATTTTACATTTTACGTTTTACGTTATTTTTATAAGCATATATAATTTTTAATTATTAATATTATTTGAATTTATAATTAATTAAAATTTAATCATCTTACCCTAAATTACAAAATAATTATACTGGAGTTAAACAACAATAAATAAGTAAATTATTTACCTGATGAGGATGCAGAAGGGCCAAAACGCCCCCCAGCCTGCCGTTGAGGAGCAGGCTGTGTGGGACGAACAGCATGTACCGGACGAACATGCTGTACAACCGGCTGTACCGGACGAACTGGCTGTACAGTAGGACGAGGGTGGATAGGACCCGTAGGCTGTGCGTGGTCCTGATCATATGAAGAGTCGTCCGAGTCATAGTCCTCTGGACCCGGCTCCCTCTCGCCGTACGACTCATCATCAGCATATCCCTGCTGACCATAAGGTAATGGTACGCGTGCGCGGGGGGGTAACGACTTCTCTGCGAACCGGGGAAAAGAACATCCCGGCTGATCGTACGGTACTGGTGCCGGGGGCATCGTCCTGCCCGCCTGGCCAGGATAATAAAATCCATGTTCGCCGTACGGGATGGCTCCGTGGGGTCGCGAACTACCTGGCTGGCCCTCAAAATGATATGGACCAGTGGGCACTGGTGCGGGGGGGGCGGAAACTCTGGCTCGCCTGACGAAGCTGTACCCTACGAGCCTCATCGATCAACGCCTGCCTTTCCGCGTCCCTCTCCCGACGAACGGACGCATTGACACCCCGACTTCTAGTGTGTCGGGTGCCAGAACCATCATAATAATCATCGTACGCCTCGTCGTCGTCCCTGACATTAGATTGTCCAGGTCTGCCAACACCCTGAATAAGAAATATAATTATTAGATTTCCCAATGTAATGATTATTCTAATAACTGTTAAAATAGATTATAATTCATTTTTCTTTTCATATCTAAACTTTATTAATTATTATTATAATTATAATTGTTTTCTTTTCATATAATTATAATTTTTTAGTTCAATTATTATAATTAACTTTAGTTTATAATCATTATTATATTTAATTATAATTATCATTACAAAATATAATTATTATTTCTTATAATAGTATTATTATAAGCATATATAATTTATAATTATTAATATTATTTTTCAAATTTATAATTAATTATAATTATTATAATTATTTATTATTAT